AGAAGAGACCGACCCCCGTCTCTCTACAGCCTCCTTTCAGGTACTTGTACAGAGCAATAAGGTCTCCCCTCAGTCTCCTCTTCCCCAGACTGAACAACCCCAGTTCCCTCAGCCTCTCCTCGTAAGACTTGTGCTCCAGACCCCTCACCAGCTTCGTTGCCCTTCTCTGGACCTGCTCCAGCACCTCAATGTCCCTCTTGTGGTAGGGGGCCCAAAACTGGACACAGTACTCGAGGTGGGGTCTCACCAGTGCCCAGTACAGGGGGTATGTTGGCTCTTTATATGCTCAGTTTGATCTTTGAAAACCTGATCCAGCAAATAGCAACAATTCCAGCAAGTGAACAAGATAGATACTACATTAAAAATTCTGTCCATAGTCTCTAACTATCAGAGAAAAACAAGAGCCTTCATTTGCCAGAAATTCTTCAGTAATAAAATACTGAATGTTAACAGAGTAGTTGAATTTTGTAAAAGCTGTAAAATAAGTAACTTTCCAAATCAGGACACGTGAGTCAAGGGTCCATTTGACAGTCCACAGCAGTCTAAGCCGTTTAGCCTGGAATTCATGCTGTATAACTTCAGTTGTATGAAATTTCAGGGTTTAGGCAGAGCTAGCCACATAGGCACCTTCTGCAGTTCATGAAAAAACACAAGGGACCACACTAAGGGGACACTGGAACCTAAGATAAATGCTGAAGATAAATGGACTGAGTATGTGGAGAATCTCCTCACCTCTTCAGAATATAGACAATGAGCTGACTACTGTTAGGCTAGTTCCCTAATTTTTATGTGGCTAAATGGAAGTGAGACAAAAATTACTTTATCCAAACTTTTAAATTAATCCTCTCCCAATTCCCCTAACCTGTGATGATATAAGTATCTTCTGGATATTTGTAACAGTAATTAATCTTAAATATTAATCAGTCACTGCCACCTCCTAATAACAACCTGCATTTTCTTATATCACACAAAATCATAAAATAATTCAGGTTGGAAGCAACCTCAGTAGTTCATCAGCAATTTCTTCCACATCAATGGGATTTTTACCACTGGCATTAATGAAGAAGCATCCACAACCACGTTCCTTCAATGGGCAATTAAGAAATCTGATGGAGGATATATCCATTGCTTATATCTCAAGGGAAGAAGCTTGAGCTATTCTGTAGAAATTCAGTAATGCTCTTCTCTCAGGTTGTTCACTTGACTTTTGAAGTCTCTGTATCTTGCCAGCCATAATCCACATCTGTGAAACTCATTGATGTGAAGACGAAATCAAAGCTATGACAAACACTCGCTTGCCATTGGATTTGCAAGAACACTGGATGACCAACCAAAAGATGAAAAGGTCAGACACATTCCTGTGCTTTTCCTCTGGAAGCTCCAGGCAATTGGTTACACTGTGTAAGATCCCAGAGTCTAGAGAAGCGTATCAGCCGTTTCCAAGACAATAGGGATAAGACATAGCACCAGATTCTTAAATGTAGACAACTGCATATAGGTGTCTAAGCTCCCATTACAGTTAATGAAGATCTAGTTAATGAAGAGCTAGGAGTCCAGGAAATTACTAAACTCACCCTGAAGTAGGCATCAAGGGTCAGATTAATTGGTCCTTAGGCTCCTCTGGCTGGACTGATTCGGAGAGGATGGTGGGGTAGAATTCAGCTGTTTGCTCACAGACACCTAGTGCTATCCGAGATGCCATTTGGCATTCAAAATCTATGTTTCTGGCAGGCCACCCAGGAGACCTGCTCTATTCCAAAGCAGCAGCCGAAATCCAGGTGAAATACCTTATAGTGCCAAAACTAATTTAAATCCCTATATCTTAGATGTTCCCTGTAATGTGAACTCAACGTATCAGTAGAAATTTAAACTTGGGTGTCTTTATCTGCCCTGTAAGTCAAGGGAGCTACAGCAAGTGCTCACCTGGATGTTTTTAGATTGTCACAAATTCAAGACAAATCCATTACTTTAAATACCTTTTATTGTGAACAAGTTTTATTTCATATATGCTGCAGAATAAGTAAGGCCTAAATACAGACCAAGTATAATGAATCTGGTCAATTACAGTAACTCAGCCGTATTGCATACTATGTTGAGTCGCATACTTAGTTTTTGTACCTTGACTATGCGTCTGACTTTTGAAAGTTTGGTTTACTACTACAGGCAACGTAAGTACAACATAGGTTTTGAAGTGTTTGGCTTGGAAAACACAGTTCCAACATATTTCTTTGGTGCTTATAATGCTAGATATTCAAACATAATTCAGATATTCTACTTTCTAAAACAAAATCTGGTTCCTTAGACGGATAGAGACGGGGTACGGAGGTGGGATGGTTAGTACAGTGCAGTCCAGAAGACAGGATATCAGTTTCAGAACAGTGAGATCTATGAGGAAATTCTAGCTTCACTGAAATCAATAGGATTTTTCTGAGTTATTTATTTATTTATGCCAGGACTTCAGTATGAAATTTACTCTGAAACCTCTCCATCAATTACCTACCTCTCAGTTTAGGAGAACTCACTTTGCATGTCCTACTCTCCTTTTGGATAATGGCTTTTACAACATCTGTATGTTACTGCTTTTTAACACGGAACCTGATCAGTAGAAGGACCTAAGTACCGTTGGAACAAAAATAATAATAATAGTAATAATTTTTCTTAAACTTACCTACAGTAGCAGCTGTGTCTGGGAAAAAACAATCTTCACAAAACCGCCTTAAGAATGAAGTCTTTCCAACACTCGAATTGCCCACAACAATAATCTTGAATAAGTGGTCCAGGACAGAGTTTATTCTCTCCTCCTTCAAATAAAAGCAAACATTAGTCTCCAACTGTTCTACAAACCCTTTGCCTCTCCAATTTGTCATGTCTTGAAGGCTAACTGAGATGGAGAACAGAAGATATTTTATCCTATCATGTTCTCCATTACTCATTAAGCAATGTTCTGTTTCTTAAAATAACTCAGCATTTCAAATGTCTGCCATGCATCATTCCAAATAATTTAAAATGCAGTGATTTGGACCAAGCTCTGGAAGTACACTGAATACAAACCTTGATATGAGACTGCATTGAAAAATGCATGAAATTCCCCAAAGAAAACAGTTTATGTTCATCCCTGCAAACCAAAACCCATACAGCTCCACACAGCTCTGCTCAGTCGGTTCTATGTTCATCCCTGCAAATCAAAACCCATACAGCTCCACACAGCTCTGCTCAGTCGGTTCACCCTATACCAATGACACTGAGGAAACAGCACATCTACACCTAAAATAACAGAAGCAAAGTCACATTTTTTTGGCTTATACCATCTATCACCAAATTCTCTCTGCTAATACCATGGAGCCAAGAGTTTCCATGGAACTACTGCATTTCTTCATCTGTTTGACATTACAGGCAGAAGCATGGGGAAAAGAGACACACAGAGAATTAGACTCGGTTAATCAGGTTGTAAATATCCAGCTATCTTTCTGTCACTGATTTTTTAAGCAGAAAGAAGAACCATTTGTTCTGCCAATCCACGCCCTGCTTACTGCAGGCTAAGCTAAGTGCATGATGGAGAGAATATTTATATCCTTTGTCAAGTAGGTCATTATTCCTAAAACCTCTGCACGTAGCTCAGGAGTTGCTTATGGAAGAAGACTGTAGCACCAGCTGGTTTGCAGGGGGTGCCCTAGCTGGTCTCTTCTATTTTGTGCAGAGGTGGGGGGAGGAAGAGGGAGATAGTGAGTTTGTTCTTAATGCTGCAGAAGGGGAGCAAGATCACAGATGCTCCTGGGATTAGTTTGTTTGGCTGGGGGTTGTGAGGAGGGAGAGGAGAGGAGGGAAGGGGGGTGGCAGGGAAAGGCCCTCTGCCAGGTATTTGAGGTACAAAATCCCTGAGACCGCTGACTTCAAGAAGACACCAGAACTGAACTTACTGCGTGACAGACCTTTGAATGGGACATTGAAGTCTGGCCTTGCAAGTGTTTTCTACAAATATATTGAAGCCTTACAGAAAGAAACAGATGTGCACTTGATGAGGGGAAAAAAAAATAACCTAACCAAAACTGTCTTCCTTAGTATGAAAAAAAATTCATTCACTGCTGTACATTTTGGGGACAAAAATATATCTCTCTTTTGTGAGCTGGGCTAATAGCCCATTACAACTATAGATTTCTCATCTCATTGTTCACTTCTCTTTTTCTATTAAAATCCCAAACTCCACTTCAACTAGAGACTGCTAGTAATACACAAACATCAATACCAAGCACATTTTCAGTTCTGCTGAAAAACACTCCCAGCTGATTAGTCTGTATGCTCTAGGAAATAAAACAAGTTAACACACAATCATCAGTTTGGCACCATTTTCACAGTGCTTCTGAGAACACTAAGTAAATACATGGACTACATGACCTGAAATACCTTGTCCCTGGTGGTCACATACACCTCAGCAACACTCAAAGAGACCAGAGGCCTTCAGTTCAATTCCCAGCACAACAGGCAGTCATTTTTCATTGAGATGTATCAAGTCCATTTCTGAAAATAACCTTAATAATCAAACTTGATTCTAAAGCTGCATCTGAACACTAGGGGATACATACTAGGGGATCAGCTACTTCATAGTCTGCTTCAACAAAGTGCTGATGGGATTATGGAATAGTGGCAGGATATAAATTTACTTTAGCTTACAACGTAGTCTGAAAAAGTCTTCCCTAGATGTGTCTTTTGAGTGATCTTCATATAAACAGTATCCAGGTCAAATAACATACCTATCTTTTGTGCAATTTAACACAAACGTGGCAGCTGGCAGGTATAAACATAGTGGTTCATATCCCATATTGAAAGAACAGAGGGGAGAGGAGTTACACCTCAGGCAAAAGTTTTGAAAACAAAATCTTGCTTTGATTTCCATTATGGTTCCTTCAGGCGTTTCCCCAATCCTATCTCTGCTTATGCTAATGGCAGCTTCATCTTCATAGACACTCAGAAAAACGTTCAACCTGACTGTTAACAACAGAGCAGTTGCTGGCCCCATGTACTGCTGCAAATTCTTAGAGACTTTCAGAAGTCGTCTTCCATAGGATGGAAACGGACTTGTTCATTTCTAAAAGGAGAAAAAATTTAGATTGGTTCTACTCGCCTAAAAGATGGAGTAGGTCTTAGCAGCTGAATGACTGTGAATGTATGGTGAAGAGCAGCTAGGAGCCTGAGTTCAGTACAGCAGGCAAGGAGATCATGTAATGTGGTAATACAAAGCCATGTAGACTACAAGAACACAAATGCCGATGAATTGAAAAATGCAGGTTGTCTCAGACCCTTCATCCTCCTAGGGTAAAACAGAGAATGACAGGACTTCTTATCTGAGTGAGCTACATCGAGGCAATGAGATCATGTAATGCAGTAATACAAAGCCATGTAGACTACAAGAACACAAATGCCGATGAATTGAAAAATGCAGGTTGTCTCAGACCCTTCATCCTCCTAGGGTAAAACAGAGAATGACAGGACTTCTTATCTGAGTGAGCTACATACGTAACAACTGCATGAGATCATTCCGCCTCCCTTGCACAAGTATTTCTAGATCCTACACTCCCGTGCACTGCAGATCCTTTGAGCAGCAAAACATGAGGGGAGAGAAGGACTGGCTGCAGAAGACAGTCTAGTTGAGATATGGCCCTGAGGCTCATAACTCATGATGCAGCAAGCAGGGAGTTATCTTTTCTGAAGTTTTCTTCAGCTCCAGTTGAGGATTATATGCAGGAAAAAGACTTCCCACTCCTCCTAGCCCGGGCATGCTGTCAGGAAGGGGAATCATGGGACAAGATCACTTCTCATGTCTAAATCTCATGGTCAAAATGCAGAGATCCCAAGAGCTATCATTTAGGATACACAAAATTGTATGCGAAACCCATCAGAGTACAGCTGGTGCATAGAAGGAGAAGCACTACTCACACAGAGGGGCAGTGGTCAGACACCTACACAGTTTGGTGACTGCCTTAAGCAACGGAATGCCATCAACTAAAAAGTCATTGGCAGGCCTAGTCAGCAGGCCAAGAGGAACACGCAGGACCATGCACTGACACTTCTTGGGACAAAAAAGGGAATTCCCAGTTATAAGTGACCTTTGGAAACAAACTTCTTATTTACCCTCACAACGTTTCTTTAGAAACTGAAACAAATTGTTTCCAACAAGCAGGCAGGAGATATTTTATGATTTGTTCTCTCCTCTCCCTGCTCGCTCTCAACTGGTTTTGGGAAAAAAAAATAAACTATAGGAAATGAGATCTGAGGGAATGCCCAGTTCCTACCCAGCTGAAAGAATGTGCTTTCAAGGTGCATGACTGCTGAAAGAGAGCAGGCAGGATGCGCTTGTTCTAGCTGAACCTGATGATCTACCTGGATGTTGCTCTCCTAAAGTCCAAGGATGCCATTCTTCAAAAACGCGATACAAAATCAGTCATATAGCAAGTAAAAAGTATGCATTGTGCTAAATCATGTCAGAGGATGAAGCTCTGTTCTGTGCCCTAGACTTTTTATTAAAATGTGTCACTTAGAATTTATTATGTAACCATTGCATAATCCTATAATAATTTTTAAGATATGCTTGCTTCTTCTGAAAGAACTATGTAATTATGACCAAGTATACCTATTTTCCCTACACTTTAATCTTTTTAATATGTGCTACAAGAATCTAAAAATGAGTAATACTTAACAATGATACTAAAATTAGAAAACAAGCACAGCTAGTTCTGAAGCAATAGCAGTGCAAGAAGACTTTAGACTCCAAAGAAACGTACCTTCCAGCACATCGTTTTAAGGAATATTACTGCACGGTGAATTTATTGTTAACATGCACATACAAACTAGAGCTGAAAAAAAAAAATCTATACTTCAATTTACTAATTAGAAGTCTTCTCAAAGGTAAAGAAATTTGCTCTTATTATTTCTCAGATAGTGTAACATCTGCCAAACCTGACTCAAAAGTATCAGAATATGAGAAATTCTGACAAAAAAACAATCCCAACTTTTCAAAAAAAAGTTGCTTCTTTTTTAGACAATTGCTACTTTTCAGTGGACCTTCTTGTGTCATCTATTACAAGGCTTAACTCCACTTTTCCTAAACAGTCTTTCAGACATAAGTATATACACACAGTGTCTGCAGTTACCACTGCTTTAGGGTGAGCTTCCCTGCTTTGCACCTTCAACATTTACCTGCAGTATATTTCCATCTCCCTCTTCACACAATGGCTGATTTGTCATGCTTTAACTTAAAAACAGAAAACTAAATAATTTTAGATTCTAAGAATAATGCATTACCCTTCAACACCATTTCATGTTTTCCAAGGTCCAACAGAATAGAACAGAATAGTTCCAGTTGGAAGGGACCTACAACTATCATCTAATCCAACTGCCTGACCAATTCAGGGCTGACCAAAAGTTAAAGCAAATTATTAAGGGCATTGTCCAAATGTCTCATAAACACTGTCGGGCATGAGGCATCAACCACCTCTCTAGGCAGCCTGTTCCAGTGTTTGACCACCCTCTCAATAAAGAAATGTTTCTTCATGTCAAGTCTGATCCTCCACTGACGCAGCTTTGAACCATTCCCCTATGTCCTATCACTGGATACCAGGGAGAAGATCAGCACCTCCCTCTCCACTTCCCCTCCTCAGGAAGCTGCAGTGAACAATGAGGTTGCCCCTCAAACTCCTTTGCTCCAAACTAGACAAACCCAGAGTCCTCAGCTGCTCCTCATAGGACATGCTTTCCAGCCCTTCCACCAGCTTTGTCACCCTCCTCTGGACGCATTCAAGGACCTTAACATCCTTTTTAAGTTGTTAAGTTGTGGGGCCCTGAACTGCACACAATACTCAAGGTGAGGTCCCTTTTGTCCCCTTACATTTGACGACAGTGTTTCCTTCCCTACAGGCTGCTCTCTAGAAGATGATGGTGAGTGTTCCATTGATTGTTCTGTGTTTTTCTTATCCATTTCCATCTCAGAAGTAGTATTCTCATCTTCTTCAGTCCATCTATTCAGCTGCTTATCAGCCAGCCTGTCAAGAAGCTGGGGTAGGGGATCTTCCTCAATTGATATTATTCTTTGGAGATGCGATGCTTTAGACTTTCCTCCAGTGGCTCCAGTATCAGGCTCTACAGAGAGAATTCCATTCAGTCCAGCAGAATTCCTTCTCTTTGAGTTACTGAAAACATCATCTTCTTCAAATGAATGGCTAGACAGAGAAAAAAGTAAGTCTCTCACAAAAATACATTGGACCTGGTTTTATTCCTACTGTTTTATTCTAGTGTAACTGAATTTATAGTGTAACTGAATTTTATCTCCCGTGTTTTTTACCACTCACAGCAGACATAGTAGATTCGGTCCAACATCTACTGAAAAGTCAGCTCATCATACAATGTGTATGCATATATATAGCACACTGGTAATTATACACATCATGGGGAAAGCTAAGAATTTACAGGGAAAACCTGAACCAGAATACAAAATACAAGATTAGCCTAATTTCATGGAATAGCTAAAGTTAGTTTCTTCACTGTGATGTCCTACTCCCCTCCCCACTCTATTCTAGAAGAATAAAACAGCTCCCCCACCCTTTCTACGTGTAATCTCATTCTCTCTTTAGCAGGCAAGAAGGAAATGGTTCTGTTTAATGTGGATGAAAAAAACAAAAGGCCAAGTGGGGATTCAACAGAAGGGGAAGTGTAAACAAAATAGATCCCGAGTCTTCTCAAACGTGTGCAATGACCAGTTGCAGTTGCAGTAAGAGAAATGCTGACGTGATACAGTGAACAAAATTTCTTCATGAGACTGGTGCAGCAAGGGAACAGGTGCCCAAAGAGGCTGTGGGACCTCCATCCAGATGTTCAAAAACTCAACTGAAGGAGGGCCTGAGCACCCTTATCTAGTTTTGGAGTTACCCATGTTTAAGCAGGAGATTGGACTAGAGACATCAGAGGTCTTTCCCACCTAAATTCTTCTATGATTTTTTTGTGCTTTAATTGTTTTTGTCAATTATGCTCTGCCTCTCAGTACTGAACTTAACTAACCTATGTCTCTGAAAAGTTTCCCTCCATATACTTCATGACCTCGTGCCTGCACGGACATTGTCTTAGTTGCTATTTCAAAGTGAAATACTAGTCTTCTTTCCAGCTCCTCTTGTCTCAAAGAAAACATGCTAGAATTTCACTGAGATTATGATCTCATTCCCGTTGATTTCAAGTTTACAATCAAACAGTTGAGAATTAAATTTTCCATGTTTTACTAGTTCCACATCCCATACTTTACAATAGGACTGCTGCCCTCTGCAATGGGAGGGAAGGAGGTGTACTCTTACCAAGGCCATTGTACCACATCAACATAAGGTTTTGTGCCTCCCAGCATATACTCATCCACAACAGGGAAGTCTCTTGCCTTTGCAGAAAGCACACTTGTTTTATATGAAAACTTGCCTCTTTATTTCCAAATTTCTTAAAAAGCACAGTAACCTTATAGTGGCAGATACTTTAAAAATACATGCTTTGAAAAGTCTAAAGGTATCAGAAAGAAAACATTCCACATCATCTTTCTATAAGCCTCATTGTACTCAAACAGGGAACACAAGAAGAAAAGTTCTTACCTATTAGGCAGCATCTTGCCCTCCAAGTATTTCCCAATGACAGACCCTGATCGCTGCTTCCAGCTGGCTTTTGCAACACTTGTTTTGCATTTCTGGAGAAATACAGAATACTTCTTACTAATTTACTTCTGTTGTTCATTACAGTTAACTGCCTTCATTCCTAATGCTTAAATAATGCTATGAGTACAAAAGAAAAAAATGTAGAAAAAAATCCTAGAGGCATAAATGCTTCAAACTCCTGATTGATAAACAATCAGAACATGGAACTTCAGATCCTGAAAGAATTCATCTTTTTAGTAAACTAAGGAGACCACAATAAAATAGCATAATGGCATGAAAAGAAGTCAATAGATGTATGGTAATTTACACTAGTAGCTTCGTGTAGGAACTAGAACACAAAAAAGTTTGAACTAAGTCTCCTTAAGCCAAAGTACCTTTGGAAATTCTTAGGGGCTATTCTCTTCTTCTGGGTAAAATGTTAATGTGATCTGCTCTTACCCAGTACCGATAGGTATTCAGGTACTGATCCAGGTACTCAGATATTGTAGTGTTGTATAAACATTTCAGGATATTAGCTACCCTTGACTGAACAAATTGTTCAATTTTTAAGTTATTTTGTCCTCTCATGATTGCATCCTTAGTTTCTTACAAAATATATTAGTCTCCCTCAAGATAGCTCCAATTTTATAATTCTAAAAATGTACCTCTTAAAATTGTTCAGCAAACAAACTTATTCTCAAGTGAGAAAAAAAATGATATAAATTAAGAATGGGGCAAGATTTAAGCAGCACAAGAGTCTGTCTCCTGAACAGCTTTCCGATCTCCTTCTTTTAAGGTTGCTCTGATATGCGTTTGCTCAACACTAGGTTTGAAAATAACTATTATTTACCTGTAAAAATATGTCACGTTCATCTTTGAGATGTTTGTTCCTCTCCCTGCAAAGAGAGCACAAATAAAAGAAACACTGAGGCCAAGTATTTAGAACTGCTGACTTTTCTCCTCAACACTAACAGACAGACTGGCAGTATAACAGGCAAGACAAATGCACTTTAATTTGGCATATCCCCACCCTTGATCATACTTTATTTATATTCTCACCACAGCCAGTTCTCTATCTGGGCCATTGAATCTCCAGTAGGGCTATGCTGACTAAAGCCAGCTGGCATATGGCCCTCATTCTGTAGTTTATCAAAACAAATGCCTTAACACATAGAAATCAGTTCTGGTCAATATGCTTTCACTTACTCTAAATTAGAGTAAGTGAAAGAGTGGTCAGGCACTGGAACAGCCTGCCCAGGGAGGTGGTGGAGTCACCATCCCTGCAGGTATTTAAGAAACGTGTAGATGTGGCACTTCAGGGCATGCTCTACTGGCACGCTCTTGTGGCCAAGATTGTAGGGGTTTTTCGTGTGTGTGTGGACTCGGTGATCTCAGATGTCCTTTCCAACCATGACGATTCTGTGATTCTCTGATTCTGTGAACACCATCTCTATTCAACTGGTGACAGCTGTGAAGGCCAGTTATGCCCCTCTGAGAGCTACCAGATGTAGCTGTCATGGGAAACATCCACCTTCCATTCATTATGCAGAAGAGATGACAATGCCAAGAAGCGGAGACTCCAAGCAATCAGACAGCTCTGACCAGATCTGACAACTCAACTGCTTAGTACATCATTCATTGTCTCCATCCATTGCTGGCCTGGCCACAAAAAAGACAGCAGGCTGCATGCCAGGATCTCCCCTTGAGTAGGGACACCGCTCAAGGTTACTTCTCAAGATGCAGAGATTCCTTGCTGCAACAGATCCTTGATAAGTGACTAATAGCATGCTAAACTTTGAAATCTTAGCTAAGTAATAAAAAGGATTGATTGCACATATATAATCCTTTAGACATAAACCATTGACCAAGTCTGGGACTAGGATTGGATCCAGCCACACCCAGACTCCTCTCTGAGAAGGAGTTCAGAAAGCAAGGGGGTCCTTTCTGAACCTCCTGACTCAACGAGAGGGTCGCCCTGACAGCTCTGACTCTGTCCTCTATGCAGTTAATAACCAAGTGTACCTTGCCATCAAATCTTGTAAAACACCGTTGCATTTACCATCAAACTTTGTTAAACCCCTGGTTTGTATCAATACATGTTTTGCCGCTTCTCTCTACAAATGAAGTGCATCGCTCCATCCATGCCGCTTACCGACTGCCATCACAGACAAAACAGACTCAACTGTAGGATGATTTTGCCTCAGTCTTCACTGGTAAGGGCTCTAACCACCCCACTCAATTTGCAGAAGGCAAAGGCAGAGACTGGGAGAATGAGGTACTGTAGAAGAAGACCAGGTTCGAGACCGGCTGAGGAGCCTAAAAGTGCCCAAGTCCATAGGACCTGATGGGATTCATCCGCGGATCCTGAGGAAACTGGCAGATGAAGTTGCCAAGCCCCCATCCATGACATTTGAGAAGTCACGGCAGTCTGGTGGAGTTCCCACTATCTGGAAAAGGGGAAACATAACCTCCACTTTTAAAACAGGGAATAAGGAAGACCCAGGGAACTACAGGCCAGTCAGTCTCACCTCTGTGCCTGGCAAGATCATGGAGCAGATCCTCCTGGAAACTCCGCTAAGGCACATGGCAAATAAGAAGGTGATTTGCAACAGCCAACATGGCTTCACTAAGGGGAATCATGTCGGACAAATTTGGTGGCCTTCTACGACAGTCTTACAGCATCAGTAGATAAGAGGAGAGCAACAGACATCATATACCTGGACTTGAGCAAAGCACTCAACACTATCCTGTATGACATCCTTGTCTCTAAATTGGAGAGACATATGGATTTGACAGATGGACCACTCGTTGGACAAGGAATTGGCTGGAAGGGCACACTCAAAGAGTTGAGGTCAAGGACTCGATGTCCAAGTAGTGACCAGTGACAAGCTCTGTTCCTCAGGGGTCAGTAACGGGACCAGTGCTGTTTAACATCTTTGTTGGCAAGATGGACAGTGGGATTGAGTACACCCTCAGCAAGTTTGCTAACAACACCAGAGGGACCTGGACAGGTTTAAGAGGTGGGCCCATGCCAACATCATGAAGTTCAACAAGACCAAGCGCAGTGTCCTGCATGCAGGTTGGGGCAATCCCAAACACAAATACAGGTTGGGCAGAGAATGGATTGAGAGCAGTCCTGAGGAGAAGGACTTGGGGGTTTTGGTAGATGAGAAGTTCAACATGAGCCAGTATCGTGCACTTGCAGCCCAGAAAGCCAACTGCATCCTGGGCTGCATCAAAAGAAGTGTGGCCAGCAGGTTGAGGGAGGGGATTCTTCCCCTCTACTCCGCTCTCATGAGATCTCATCTGGAGTACTGCATCCAGATCTGGAGCCCCCAATAAAAGAAGGTCATGGACCTGTTGGAATGAGTCCAAAGAGGGCCACGAAGATGATCAGAGGTTAGAACACCTCTCCTATGAAGACAGGCTGAGAGAGTTCAGGTTGTTCAGAGAAGACTCTGGGCATACCTTACAGCAGCTTTCCAGTACCTGAAAGGTGCCTTAAGAAGATCTGGAGAAGGACTTTTTACAAGGGCATTAAGTGATAGGATGGGGGGTAATGGCTTCAAACACATGAAGTGATAGGATGGGGGCGGAATGGCTTCAAACTTGAAGAAGGTAGATTTTTATTAGATATTAGGATGAATTTTTTCACTATGAGGGTGGTGAGACACGATTAGATATTAGGATGAGTTTTTTCACTATGAGGATGGTGAGACACTGGAACATGTTGCCCAGAGAAGCTGTGGATGCCCCATCCTTGGAGGTGTTTAAGGCCAGGCTGGATGGGGCTTTGAGCAACCTGGTGTAGTGGGAGGTGTCCTTGCCTGTGGCAGGGGGTTGGAATTAGATGATCTTTAAGGTCCCTTCCAACCTAAAGCATTCTATGGTTCCATGATTCTATGGAGAGAAACAAAGAGAAAAATAAAGTAATCTTCTCCCCATCCCTTCTTCTTCCCAGGCCCAACTGCATTCTGGACTCTTCTACCTCCTTCCCAACCCAGAGTGGTGCAGGGGGATGAGGATGGAGGGCAGGGGAGGTGTGTGGCCAGTCCATAACACCTCCTCTCTGCTAATCCTGCCTCCTCACACTTTTCCCTTGCTCTAGTGAGGGTCCCCTGCCAGAAAGCCTGGTCCTGCATGGGCTCCTCTCCATGGACCTGCTCTGTGCAGGAATCTCTTTTTCAACACCTGGACTGGCCTTGGTGTCTGTAGGGCTGTTTCTCACACGTGCTTTCTCAGAGATGCCACCACCTTTGCTGAGGGGCTCAGCTGTGCCCTGCAGCGGGTCTGTTGGAGCCGGCCAGAACCAGCGGCGTCCTCTTCTTTGGCACAGAGGCCACTCCTTTGGCAAACACCTGGAAACCTACACCCAGTACATACCCCAACATAATTTCATCCTTTAATGTACCTCTTTAGAACGACACAAGAAGTTTTTGAACATAAGATTTGCATTACCTTAAAAAATCCAGCTGCTTCAGAAGTCCTGACTTCTCTCTCTGTAAGGTTTCTGTCACTCGGTACACCTCCCTGTAATGAAAAGAAATATATAAAATTGTTCTAACCATGGTAACAACACTGCTAAAATGCTTCCCCCAGAAGTATCCACATTTGAGACTTCATCTTCTCCACACCTGTAGACTTTATTCTGCATGAATATTTACTAATTTTTAAAAAGTTTATTCAGTATAAGGTCCACCGTACCATAGCATTTTGAAGGAGCAGAGGTTCTTATAAAAAAAAAACCCTATAGCTTTACAATTCCTTCATCCAGAGAGCTTAATATACACTAATACCAGCAGTTGCATCATTCAGAGAACACCTACTGCTGAAATCCTTCTCACTCATGGCCACTGAAGACCATGAAACATTTAATGCAGAATTAGAGTTTATCTTGCTGCTGGTGCAACCACAAGCCAGGCTCACGTATCTACATTCCTTACAATTTCTTTTCCATTCCTGACTTTAACAGTTATTCTGCATTAAACATTGGGCATAGCATCTCAGATTTTTACACTAGATTTACACCAATTACTTTAACTTAACGGAAATCGGTATCTGGCCTTAAATGTTTTTTTTTTCCTTTCAGGGAAGCCTCAAGCTCCTCCTGTGCATGATGTATTTTGAAGGGTAGAATGTATTTTAGAAGGTAGAATCTCTCACTAAGCAAACACAGAGACCTGTAAAAAGGTTACAAGGCCTTGTGAAACAGGGCACTTTGAATAAACAACACATGCCTTGCTAATGAATATACCCTTGAAGAAGAACAGAAGGCTGATAACAAGGGAACATCCCTCTGCAGAAGGCACCAAAACTGGCTGAAAACTGGACAGCTGCTAGAAGAAGCATAAAGTCAACAAAGATCTAACTGGACGCTAGAAGAAGCATAAAGTCAACAAAGATCTGCAGTAACTGGAGAATGCTAAAGGCAGCAGTGAGAGAGCATGAGCACTGACTCAACTAGAGACTGAACAGAACTACCCCACCGCCACCGTACTGGAGCACAAGCACATCAATTAAAGGACATTGTAACTTTAATTTAAAGCAAGAGACTGCACTAACCAATAGAAATTAAGATAAGGTACTAAATAATAATTATAATTAAGGGTGTGCACTTCTGTGTTTTGAACTGTATAAATATTCCAAGGAGTTTGCAGGCCAGTGTGCGGGCTGGGTGGATTACCACCTAGCACCCATCTCTGCAGAAATGATTTAAATAAATACCTCTACTCTGTGTGCAGATTGGCATCTTGCACACGAGGTAAACAACCCTGATTTGGAACAACATGCACAGTCTGAACATGACACCTGCTTCAACAATTCAGGTCTTACCAGACTGATAAAGACGTTTAAAGCAACACTGCAGGTGCAGTTGAGTAGGGCTGAGCTCTAATTCCATAAAATACTATTGAATCCAAAGTGCTTTGTAAATGCAGTAGTATTATTCAGCAGTCTGAACTGCTGGGTAGATTTCCTCTGTAGCTTTAAATTCAGATCATTCCACAGTCTTTGCTCTGGATCTGAAAAGAGAGGCCTCAAAGGGGAAACAAATAACCTTGAGGAGGAATATTTCTACCGTCTACTTCCAAAACACATATCAAACATGCAAATCTAAAAATAGCATTCTTAAACACAGTGGCCGTTCTTTAACAATCATTTATCAACAAAGTGCATTATTTATACCCTCAAGAAAAACTAAATTTTTAGTAACTATGTAGAGTGTTGCACAAAGCTTGACAGAAAAAGAATATGACGTTTGATCTAATATTCTGCGCTATCCTGAAATAAGCCAAATAGCCACAGCTCTGAGTTAGGTAGCTCATTGCTGAAATGTACAGAGTCTGGCAAGATGTGCACCATAGTCCATGTGCTCTCCATCGGCAACAAGAGGGTTTTACAGATCCCTCAGCATTTTTTTTAAACCTATATTCCATTACACGGACTCCAGTGAACATTTCTGCCAATTACAGCTTCAGAGCACTATAACTTTTGCTTTGTACAGAAGGCTAGAGCAAGACAGGTAGATTGATCCATCACTTAAAGGCAATTTCTATCCCTCAAAATATGAATTGTAAACATTTCTTCTTGAAAAATATTTTTAGTTCAGATTCAGAATCTGAAATCCAAAACATATGAACTGGAAACTCCAAAATGATGGTTCTGGATTGCCATAAGTCCTTGTACGAATTGTGATTTAGCTGCATAATCTATGTTTTATGTTGCGAGCCAGGCTCCTTCATCAGAAATTATGTACTAGACCTGCTTTTGATGAAGAAAAGAAGCAAATCCTAGTCATGCCATAGCCAGACTACATTCCGAGAAGCAGTTTCATATAGAGTTAGCTTTGAGGAGGATGGAACATCACGTGCCACAAATGTAATTTATGCAAGGAATCCCACTGGTATTTCAAAACTAATATATACTTTTTAACCCATTAAATTGATTTTTAATTCCAAACACCTTCCACAAATGGGTGTGGAGAAGCATATCCTTGTCATGTCATAGCCAGACTACATTCCGAGAAGCAGTTTCATACAGAGTTAGCTTTGAGGAGGATGGAACATCACGTGCCACAAATGTAATTTATGCAAGGAATCCCACTGGTATTTCAAAACTAATATATACTTTTTAACCCATTAAATTGATTTTTAATTCCAAACACCTTCCACAAATGGGTGTGGGAGAACACTGATATTTTTAAGAAGTAGCAAAAGATTCTGTAGAAGCCAGATACGCTACAGAAAACATGCAGAATGACTTGGGGGGAAAATGACTAGACCTGCACTTGGCTTTTGTCCTAGTTCTGGTGGGGATAGGGTTTGTTTTCCCCAGGATCTGGTAGAGGACACAGGTACTCCATACCATGTGACACCATGCCCAGTCTATAGCCCGGTGCTGGGCAGGGCAGGGGGCAGGAAGTCACCCCTTGAAGCAGGCTGGGGCATCCTGGGTCCGGTCGGTGAGTGGTGGTACAGTAATTATGTTTGTACATTTCTTTATTAGTGTTATTGATGTTGCTTTCCTGTTCCCTTTGCTGTTCTGTTAAACTGCCTTTGGCTGTGGGGGGGTGAGTGGTGGTACAGTAATTATGTTTGTACATTTCTTTATTAGTGTTATTGGAGTGGTGGTACAGCAGTTGTGTTTGTACATTTCTTTATTAGTGTTATTGATGTTGCTTTCCAGTGGCCACGTAGTTCTTTGTTGCCGTCTGAGGCTAAACCATGTGGCCACGTAGTTCTTTGTTGCTGTCTGAGGCTAAACCACCATGACAGCTTTGCTGCTGGTTTGTGCTTATGACACAAACTTAAACCCCAGCACTGAATACCCTGAGAGGAAGGCTCACTGGCACGCTAAGCAAATGCACTAGAACCACTGCAACTGGAGACTTACATTTCCTTCTCCTCCTGTAGTTTTGATGCCTCCTCCTGAAGCACCTGTAACTGTTGTTGAGCCTGGCTTAGTTCATGAGAAGTTCTCTCCAGGTCTCTCAGCAGCTCCTTGTTAGTCAACTTCAGCTTGGTGTTCTCTGCTTTGGTTTCTTCTTTGCCACTGAGAAGTTCTGTACATTGCTGCTCTAACTGGGATGGAAGAAGTGAGAACAGAAAATATGATGACCACCTGAGGCCTCTTGCTTTTGAGGCTTTTTAATTCAAGTCATAGAGGTTAGTTGAATAAGGAAGCTCTTTCTATCAAAGCCAACATATGGGTAAAACACTCTTCCACTGCTCTGTGTACAGCCATAATTATGTTACACAAAAGCAAATCCATTCCACTCTATGACTGAATTTCACCCAGTTCAAAAATGCACCAAGACAAACCACAAAAAAAGTGTTTACAGAGCAGATTAGCAGTACTTAGTTGATATTCACAACTCACATCTTAGACAATTTCCCACAATGACAAGGCCTACACAGCGCAATTCATAGTTCTGCCCAAAAACTGTTAGATTTAGATCTGGTAGCTGATAACCCTTCCCACCCCAATAATATCAACAAACAGCAGCAACCTTTCTGCCATCTCAGCTAAATCTGCCAAGAAGTGTAAATTAGGGCTTTTGTTATTCACTTTTATTTTCACTTTGCAAAGTATATAGAAAGGAAAGATACATCTTCCCCGGGAAACAGGTAATAGCAGATGACAGTGGCCTCTGGTATGTAAATAAGTTCCACCTGCTTCTCCCTGGCTAATTGAGCAAATTAAGATGACACAGCAAAAGTTAAGTAGACTAAAATTAGCCCACTCCATATTAGGGAAGGCACTGCTGACTTAAAAATATAAAAGCTTTTTTCTAATCTATTTTTTTTTTCAGTATGCATTTTAAGGGATGTAAAATGTACCAGAAGCACTACAACGTTACCAGTTCAATTCTCCAGATCTGGGACACAAGAGAGGATTTTCTTAGAAGTCTCATTTTGCACATCCCAACAGGCAGAGCTCACCCAACCCAAAATCTGTCCTTACCCAGCTCTGCCAGTCTGTTCACATTCCACAACACCGCCGCTGTTCTAGTTTTGGTTTTGAATGCAGTCTTAAGACCCAGGTTCAAAACAAAGGCAGAAAGGCCAGACTTTCTAGCTGGGACTGGGAAAGGTCAGGAGGAAGAGCAGAGTGGGAGCACTTCTTTCAGCAGCAACACCAGCTTAAGGTATCTGCTGACCTGTAGCCTCAGCAGGCTCACAGCTCATATGGAACACTGACTAGCTGAGCTGAGCAATGCTGGTTCACATTAGAATCACAGAATGGTTAGAGTTGGAAGGGACCTTAAAGATCATCTAATTCCAACCCCCTGCCATGGGCAGGGACACTTCCCACCAGACCAGGTTGCTCAAAGTCCCATCCAGCCTGGCCTTGAACACCTCCAGTGACACTTCAGTTCCCGAGTACTGCTTCCATTCCAGGAGTGGTTTTGGCAGAAGCAAAAAGTGATCACACAAGGATGAACTTCCAAAAAGCTTAAGAGCAACAAATTGCAGGTAGAAATCTGACTTAAATAGTATCACGGCCATCTGAAAACTTACAGAGAGTGGCCTGGAAACGTAACCGTGATGTAGCCATCATCAGCTCCCAGAATCATGGGTACTGATGTTAGAAAGAATTGCTACAAATCCCGGTGCTTACTTCTGTGAGAAAACCAATTACGTTGAAACTATGCTCAATAACAGACGCTTATAATATTTAAACCCCAAGAGACAACAAGAAGAGAAAGGGTTATTTCACAGCAATACAGAGCTCCTTCCTTTTATTGTATCTATACAATTCTTTAAGTCATGCCAAACAGTCCTTTCAAAGCATTCATTTATCAACTCTCAATACAGTGGAATAACTCATTAGGTGGATGCTCAGCTGGTATTGAATGGCATAGATCCTACAGGCTCTAACTGCTTACTGGAGCTGCAAATTGGCTACCACAGTCATCAGTCAGATGAAAATTGACTGGGAAAAACTCATGGCCCATAGCCCTGTTTAAGAAAATCTAAAAAGCAGAGAGAATTAACCAATTACCACAGGTCAAGCACAGACACAGTAGCCAATGGTGTATATTCTCTTTTTTTTTTTTTTTGACAAAAGTAGGGGGAAAAACTCAGAAGTTTAACATTGAGTAAAGAACTGGGATTGTCCAATACAAACTGCTGCTGAGGGCAGCTATTGCTGCCTCTCAAAGACACATACATTAAGCACTCTCCATACGTTCCCTTGTTCTTAGCTCAGCATTCTATCTGTGCTATTTCTCTTGGGTTTTTTTCCTGTTAATTCCATGTATGCATGAAAGATGAAACATTTATACATGTGGTAAGGCTGAGGATTATTTTGCTTTATGCTTTTTTTAACAATCCTATCACTTGATTTGCATCTTTGAGTGCTACTGATGCATGTTCTCATGGATCTCTCACTCAGAATCCCGAGATCATGCTTTTCAGTGGCTGCCATCAGCACAGAACCCATCGTTTTATGTGAGAAGCCCAGTAACTCTCCTGCATTTTACCTGATCCAAATGTACTTTTTTCCCTTAATACAAGATTCTGTGCCCTAGATGTTATGCTGAGCATCCTCTGTCCCCAGTGCCTCCTTCTGAGACATGCCATCACACTTTCCTTGAGGAACACTATTGAGAAAACCTTGTGCTTTAGAGCAAGCTCACATAGAGCAATTTGACGATTGAAGACCGTGGCAGCCAGCAAAAAGACCTAGCCAAATGAATCTTGGCCTACAGAGGGCTCGCCAACATGAAATCAGATCAGTATTTTAATGACAGCAGGAAGAAGACCTTCAGAAGGGAGACTCCCTCTGGCTAAATCAGCAGAAACAACACTTGAGCTCATCTTGTCTGGAAGTTTCTTTTCACATTTTTATAGTAATTTCCAATACAAGAATTTTGAGAAGGGACAGGATGGGAAGGAAAAACACAGAAATACTATTAATAATAAAAAATGCAATGAATAGAAAAGGAAAACATACCATTCGATAAAAAAAAATACAAAAAAATAGCACAGACATTATGTTCTCCAAGATAGGCAATAGTAGACAATAGGAAATGCACACAATAATCATAAGATAAAACTTCATGATACTTCTGCCTGTATTACTTGGTTAGACCAGGCTTAAAATTGAGCATAAGCCTTTGAATAGCTTCTGTGGTTTTTATACCAAATTTAGAACGCGTATATTTCAGAGAACCACAGGAAAAGGTTTTTACAGAACTACTGGTAGATAACAAAGTTTTAAACATAGCTTTAAAGCAAAAAAAAAAAAAAAACCCAAACAAAAAAAAACCCAACAACCAAAAACAACCAAAAAAGGATAATATTAAAATACAAACATTACAAAATTATGATAAATGATTCCTTGTATTTTTACAGTTAGCTTCAGACTAAAAATGCCTGATTTGCGTGCCCCCACAGATATCTTCAAAGTATAGACAGTGCCTTTATAGTGCTTTTTACCATTATAGTGCTGCGATGTGGTAAACAGCCTGCATAAAAAGACACCTATTCTGATTCACAGTGGTACTGAAGAAATAATTAACATCAGGCAGTTGATTTCAATTATGTAATGGCCTTTTTGTTCATTCCTGTATCTTCATCAGCTAAACTTGCATAACTATAGTACACTAGAGGCTTGTTTCCCCTCTTACTGACATACAATCCTACAATTCTCATCAGCCTCAGCAACACCTGGATTCATTCATCAGAAGAGGATCTAAAATTACACCCAACTAGGAAACTGCCATCAAACTTCTCTTTCCTCTTCCCTTGCCATCCCCTCTTACTTCTGCCCTACTTCCCAGGACTGGCACTCCCAAGCCCTGCTGTCAGGAAAAGAAAATTTACACGTATTTCATATTCATCTTTTATAGAAGGTGTTGGTTTCACAGCATTCCATTTCTGTCTGTTAAATTCCAGTGCTACCCCCTTTTCCTATATCTAGTCTTTCCTGCACTGACCTTGGAGACACTTTCCAGCAAATTTACATATGCAGAAATACTCTGCTTCCCCAAGAAGGCCATGAATTTTAAGAAGTAAAACACTTCAGGCTTTAATATGGGAACTTGACAAGCTGTTAGCATGCAAGAGAACCATGCACCGCTATAAAACTGTTATCATGGAGACATATCAGGAGCAGGATGTTCAGGAGGGAGAATTTCAAGTTCATAGTGCTGCATTGCCCCAAACAAGTAAATAAGTAGCTGGTACAAGCTTTCAATAAAGGTGTAGGCTGTAAGACCCAAATCATTTTTCTCTGCTTTTGAGCTGTTGGGGCACTAAGCCGGTTCCTAGCACATTGAAGGCAGTGGAATTCTGCTACATTTTCATAAAAATAACCCAGTACCTGGGAAGAATACCTGTAGCTTTTTTTTTCCCCCCGTTTTATCATATAAAAGGAAAACTTGTAGGCTGTAAGACCCAAATCATTGTTCTCTGCTTTTGAGCCGTTGGGGCACTAAGCCGGTTCCTAGCACATTGAAGGCAGTGGAATTCTGCTACATTTTCATAAAAATAACCCAGTACCTGGGAAGAATACCTGTAGCTTTCCCCCTCCCCCCGTTTTATCATATAAAAGGAAAACTGATTTAGAAATAGAGGGTAACATTTCTAACATTTTTCCTAAGCATGTGCGTAAAAGTCTAGCAGTCACAACTTCACTTTTAAATGCATTCAGGTATCTACACTCGTGACACAAAAGCAACAGATGATCACAATTTGGCAGAACCACATCACACAAACTTCCATGTTTGGGACCTAAAATAGCACCTAAAGAAAATAATATGAACCAATAAAAATTATCTATTTTTTAACTCTGAAGGATATAGGTTAATACCCTTTTCTGTTTCTGCGCCAGTTGTTCCAGTTCTTGTTCTTTTGACAGGAGTTTGCACTTCAGCTCTTGACTGTAGGACTGAAACCTCTCTGTGTCCTGCAAAATTCAAAGAGGAAATGTGTGGGTTAACAGGACTGTGGAGGAAACAAAGACTAGAAGAAGGAAGAGAATAAGCAGGAATACTGGCAGGGGACGGCCTGTGAGCATCACCTAATGACCCTACTGACTGGGGCAAAATCCGCCCCACCAGCACTTGGGGGTTGCAATGGGGTGCCTATTGGGAAAGATAATGCTGATGGACTTAATGATCTGAAAGACTATATAAGCTGGGAGTTTGTTGTAATAAATGATTCTGGTTCCACCTCCAATAGGGGCCGTGCCTTCATACGCTACAGAAATGGAACAGGTTGCCCAGGGAGGTGGTTGAGGCCCCATCCCTGGAGATATTCAAGGTGAGGCTCGACGAGGCCCTGGGCAACCTGGTCTAGTTGGGGGTGTCCCTGCTGACTGCGGGGAGGTCGGACTAGATGACCTTGACGGTCCCTTCCGACCCAGATGATGATTCTATGATTCTATTAACAGAACACACAATTTTGTCAGCAGGAGGAGACATAAGGAATAAGGCATAAAAACAGTAGGCTTTTTCACAGTGAACATAACAAGCTACTGATAGAACTCAATTTAGGGATGGTATCACACATGAACCTAAACTCCCAACTTCTGTAAACTGGTGTAGTCCAGCAACTTCAATGACTGCAATTGCTACAGGATGTGCTGATTGCACATAAGTAGGCATCAAGTCTACAAAGTGGAGGCAGAAGTCTTAGGCATGAGCCTTAGGAGCTTAGCCAACCTAAATCAATGAAGCATTCCCCCATTTCCAGCTACACATACCTTCATCCTCTTATACACTAGTATTCATCTGTTGCAGCAGTGAGCTGTTTCAGAGAGCTAAGCAAGCAGAAAAAAGAAAAAGAAAAAAAACAGCAAAAAAGTGAATAGCTTTCTCCACTTCTGGTTTCCTGAACCCGACAACCGCTGACACGTACAAGTGATGAGAATGCAGAACTTGGACAAATTTAAATTATTATGGAGTCATACTGTAACTCACATACAAGCTATCAGGATTGACGTGGGAGGTACAGGTTACTGACACACAGCCTGGCAACTCAGGTTGAAGTAAAAGAAACAATACCTGCAACCTTTAAAATTCATCACTACCAACAATTCGTCACAGATGTTCCACTGGTATCAGCAAGGGATCTGGGCTTCAGGCTCTGACATACACTTAGCAATTATATCAATCTGCCCACTACTTAAGTACCCTGCAAACACTGGGAACTCCCAGCCCTATTTGGGATTACTCCTTCAGACACTCAGCTGAAACAAATTCCCAGGTCTTCCCTGGGCAAAATCAGGTCCAGCAGTTCATATCAGCTGAGAATCTGTCCTATTGCTCCACAACAGCCTTCTACCCTCTAAGGTCCCCAGGAAAATGCCTCTGAACAAAAATTAAAATTCCCTCTAGACAGTAGTGGTTTATATATGCTTTTCCCCTTCAGCAGAACACGTAATAGGGTACTCAAATGTGTGTTAACTGGCTTCTTATGAGGAAGAATATATATCCCAGTGAAAAAACAACAGACTAACTGCCCTTTTTGTACAACTTTCAGTCAGCAGGGCATTAGGTATGGTAAATAGCTACAATTTGTACCTATCCACATCTTAGCAATTTCTTTAAATGTATTCTTCAAGAGTTGCTCTTCATTCCAGCCATAATAATTCTCCTTTTATATGGCATCAGTGCGTCTCTCCAGGCTGTAAAGTCTTAGTGAGACTTTGCATTAGAGAAAGAATTTAACAGGCAGATCTGCCCAAATCCCACACTAGTCACCCCAAGAAACAATACATCTTGAGTGTCTGACAACCATTAGTGTGAATGACAGCTTAACTGGAAAAAGCTTCATCGGGAAGCTTTAATGAAAACACTTGAAAGAAATGGCTGTACCTCAAATGTACAATTAATTTGGAGATCCAACAATCATTGCTAAAAAGCTTCATTGGGAAGCTTTAATGAAAACATTTGAAAGAAACGGCTGTACCTCAAATGTACAATTAATTTGGAGATCCAACAATCATTGCTTATGGAAAAGTCCTTGTTGTTTTAGGATTTTCAAGACAACTTCAGTTGTGGGCTATTAAGAGCATATAAACCATTTCTTCCACATACAACTGCTGTCAGGCAAAGCTGCAAGTATTTTTTATCCTTCAGCTGATATACAAACTTTATATAAAGGGCTCATCTCATCCACCACTAAAAACTGCTCTCAGCTTGGAATGAAGAGGCACTTTCACTAAGGGCAAATCATGCCTGACATTTTGTGGGCTTTCATTTCACACTCAGAATGAGGATAAAATCACTGGAAGTGGGAGCAGAATCCATGGCTACAATAACAGAGACACTCACTTTCAGAAGAAACTGTTCTTTCTCTTTTTTGATTTGCTGTTCCATTTCTTCATAAAGATGTTGAATTTCTTCATCATAAGCAGCAATTTTCCTAAGAAGAGATAGAAGTATACTGAGTGGGTCTTTGTAGCATTACTTCAAGTCATGGCTCACATTATAAGTTAAGCCCCACATTTTTGCCTTTAACAAAAGACTCCAGAGACTGTTGTAGGGTTAAGAAAATAGGAATTTTTGTGCAGGAAAGGTCACTGATTAAATTTCTATTTTTTTTTTCTCATGGAAGGAAAGCTTCAACTTCTCAAAGACTAATAATCCATATAAAGAAGCTGTTCAGTATGCGGTTCTAATGACTTAGGTTTAAGAAACAGAGCTTCCTAGTGACAACACTACAAATACCAGAGCCTAAGTTTACCAGTTAGAAGTATCTTCATGGCAACTGCATTTTTTTTTTTACTCTTGGACTTCATTGGTAATCATTCAAGAGCACTGAATGGGATACTTCTATCGTATCTAGGACACTTTAGTTCGAATGGACTTTTTGGAAGTCCTTCTTGAAAGCTGCCTTACTGCCTCTCTAACACCTGAAACAAATTTGAAAAGCCCAGCTGAGAAACAGAAATAAATGTTGTGCACAAGTGTATTTGACTATAGGAAAAAAGGACTTACAAAGCTCAATTTTTCCAACAGAATATTGCAATTAATATCACTGCAGTTTGATACATGAAGGATTACATTAATCAGATGCTTTAGGTTGGGCAGAAAATATTTAACTGTTGAAAGGGAACAAATCAGCTGCTTTGTTCTGCTTCTATTCTCTTCTATTCTACTCTATTCTGATTTTCATTAATCCAGAAACTGAAAAGCAAAACTCACTTTGCATTGAACTCAGAGGACATTCTAGAAAGACTTTTATTTGAGGTAAATAGGGCCTTTATGTGACACTACTGTATATTCCTCCACGTTCCTCTTGCCAGAGCTGTTCCTTGAGCACTCTGCAGAATGCATGTTACAAATAAAGTACATAATCTCCTAGGGCATTCACATCAATAAAAGCAAGCCAAAGAATATACAGTAGGAAAAAAAAGCTGTTAATTTTGTAATCTGGATATCTACTATTCTTTTTTGTACCTAATGCTCTACGTATTCCATGTTTTCACTTAACTAAAGGCCTGATTATCGTCTCAGTTAAAGCCAAGCAAATCAGAAAGAAACTTCAAAAAATTTACCCAAGGTAAGAAGACTGAGAAACACCAGAAACAAACACTTCTTTCTGCCTCTCAAACATCAGAACGCTTAACATTGCCAACTTGCATTTTCAGTCCCAGGTAAAAAATAAGGGGGAAGGCATTTTCTCAGGATTTACAGTAGCAATAAACAAGTATCAAGCTACACCAATTTGAGGAAAATGACTACTGCCACTTAGGTTTTTGTAAACTCTGATTAGGTAAGAAAAGCAGCCCAGACAAGGGCCTCTTCATGTGACTTCAATGGTTCAAAAAGAGAATGCCAGAAAATCCAGAAGCTCTTTTTGCTGGCTTACTCCCTTTATAGTGTAAGGGCAGTACTTTATATAGTGTATTGTTCTGATCTCAAATTTTATTTTCTTAAAACTAAGAAAATGCTTCATGAGAAATTAGCACTCATCAATGGAATAAAATGACACACTCATAAAGTATTAACAATTCTTTTAAAACGTGTGGCAGAGTTGCTAAATTCCTATTTAAAAATACTGTATTCATGCAGTATAATGCCACTTTGATCAGGGTTAGATTGTGCACTGAAAAGCCCTGTAACTTTGCACAGGCAGAACACATTGCACAGCGGTCAGGGTTTCCATGGAAATCATAGAGATTTTCTGTGCTTTTGTGTGACAGAGAGAATAACTTTAGTCCCATATTATTAACCTTCTGGTTTAGATATTTCTTTCCTCTTATGTGTTTGGAATTAAAGGATATGGCAGCATCACCAAGACTACATCCAGGAAGGACCTCTGGGTGTAGGAATCATTTTAGTTGGTCTGGCACATAAGCACATGCCATTTCTGCAGGCTGAATACCCTCCAAGTATTTAATTCATAGCTTATCATTCTTAACTCTGATGAAATTAAACAGAAAGATAAAATATCATCCTGTTACAATCACAAGTGTAACAACACTTATAAATAACATAACTAACAAGCAGCAGAAAAAATAATCCAATCCATTAGCTAGCAAGTACTCCCCACATGCAGTAAGGGGAAAATAATTAAAGCCGTAAGAGCATATCATCATTATGTGAAAAATGCTAAACATTTTGATTAAAATCTCTATTCCCTGGGATCATACCATCCAGTTTTACTCAGTGCATAATTGTATAATTTCAGCAGTATTTGATAATGTGATCTTTCTCTTTCCAGTAATGCTGTGGAAACAAACAGAGATGGAGGAGAGTTTACCACCATTGGAATAAGGGACAGGTAACTCAGGAGGAGTACAGAGTCCTCGTTAGGTTATACAGAGAGAAAATTAGGAAGGCAAAAGCCCAGCTGGAGCTCAACTTGGCCACTGACATAAGGGGTAACAAAAAAAGTGTTCATAAATACATCAACAGTAAAAAGACAGCCAGGGAGAATCTTCATCTCTTACTGGATGCCGGGGTGAACATTGCAACCAAGGACAAGGAGCAGGCTGAGATACTATTAAATAGCTACCAGCTACCCCCAAGGTGTTCAGCCTCCTGAGCTGGAAGATAAGGATGCAGAGCAGAACAATGCCCCATAATCCAGGAGGAAGTAGTTAAGGATCTGCTTACACACCTTACGCATGCTTTGCATGATCTGCTACGCGTAAGTCTATGGGCCAGATGGGACTCACCCAAGAGTACTCAGTGAGCTGGTGGGAGAGCTCACCAAGCCTCTCTCCATTATCCATCAACAATCCTGGTCAACAGGAGAGGTACCAGATGACTGCAGGTTGCCTAACGTGATGTCCATCTACAAGAAGGGCCAGAAGGAGGATCTAGGGAACTACAGGCCTGTCAGCCTGACCTCGGTACTAGGAAAGATCATGGAGAGGATCATCTTGAGTGAGCTCCCATGCCAAGTGCAGGGCAGCCAAGGAATCGGGGCCAGTCAGCATGTGCTTATGAAAGGGAGGTCCTGCTTAACCAACTTGATCTCTTTCTATAACCATGTGACCCACCTTCTCAATGCAGGGAAGGCTGCGGACGTTGTTTACCTGGACTTTGGTAAGGCCTTTGATATCATCTCCCACTGCATTATCCTGGAGAAGCTGGTGAATCATGGCATAGACAAGAGTACTGTTCACTGGGTAAAAAACTGGCTGGATGGCTATGCCTAGAGAGTCGTTATTAATGGGATGAAATCTTGTTGGCACGTCAGGCACTGGAACAGCCTGCCCAATGGAGTCCCCATCCCTAGAGGTATTTAAGAAACGTGTAGACATGGCACTTCAGGGCTTGCTCTAGTAGCCCAGATTGTAGAGGGTTTTTTTGTGTGTGTATGTTTGGATTCTGTGATCTCAGAGGTCCTTTACAACCATGACGTTTCTGTGATTCCACATGCCTAGAGAGTCGTTATTAATGGGATGAAATCTTGTTGGCAGCCAGTCACCAGTGGTGTCCCTCAGGACTCAGTTTTGGGGCCAGTCTTGTTTAATATCTTCACTGATGATCTGGACGAGGGGATCAAGCGCATCCTCAGTCAGTTCACAGATGACACCAAACTAGGTGGGAGTGTTGATCTGCTTGAGGGTCAGAAGGCTCCACAGAGGGATCTGGACAGGTTGGATCAATGGGCCAAGGCCAATGGGATGAGGTTTAATAAGGCCAAGTGCCGGGTCCTGCATTTTGGTCACAACAACCCCAGGCAGCGCTACAGGCTTGGGGAAGAGTGGCTGGAAAGCTGCCCAGTAGAAAAGGACCTGGACGTGCTGGTGGACAGCCGGCTTAATGTGAGCCAGCAGTGTGCCCAGGTGGCCAAGAAGGCCAACAGCATCCTGGCTTATATCACAAATAGCGTGTCCAGCAGGAGTAGGGCAGTGATGGTGCCTCTGTACTGGGCACTGGTGAGGCCTCACCTCGAGTGCTGTGTCCAGTTCTGGGCCCCTCACTACAAGAAGGACATTGAAGCACTGGAGCATGTCCAGAGGAGAGCCACCAAGCTGGTGAGGGGTCTGGAGAACAAGTCATACGAGGAGAGGCTGAGGGAACTGGGCATGTTTAGTTTGGAGAAGAGGAGGCTGAGGGGAGACCTCATTGCCCTCTACAACTACCTGAAAGGAGGGTGTAGAGAGGTGGGTGTTGGCCTCTTCTCCCAAGGGAATAATGACAGGAGCAGAGGAAATGGTCTGAAGTTGCAGAGGAGGTTTAGATTAGATAGGAGGAAGAACTACTTTACTGAGAGGGTGGTCAGGCACTGGAACAGCCTGCCCAGGGAGGTGGTGGAGTCACCATCCTTGCAGGTACTTAAGAAACATGTAGATATGGCACTTCAGGGCATGCTCTAGTGGCCCAGATTGTAGGGGTTTTTTTTTGTGTATTTTTGGATTCTGTGATCTCAGAGGTCCTTTACAACCATGACAATTCTGTGATTCCACTGCACTCTTCTTGTGTTGCACAGACCAGAACTTCACTGGGTGCACCAAGATTCTATGTAGTGGCAAAAAGCATGCTTCGTTATGTTCTCAGTATCCTTCCTGATCATGAATAGCATTTCACTGGGGTTTTTTTGGTTACCATTGCACCCTGAACTGATGATTTCATTAAGCTCTCTGCAATGACCCCAAGGGCTTTCTCCAGAGTTGTAACTGCCCATTCGAAGCTCAGGATCATGTAAGCATGACGTAAATTATTTTATCTTCCTTACATTTAGCTACAATGAAGTTCATCTACTGCTTTTGTGGCCACTCAATACATCACCCCATTATTTAAAAACCACCACTGCTAAATTTAAGAAGCTCTCTCATTTCAAATTAGCACTTAAAATTAAATACAAACATCAGAAAATCAAGAACTAACTTACCTGTGGCAAAAAAAAAATAGTATGTATCCACTGATCCACTGTGTAGATACCAAAAGCAAAATGGATGAATGTATGGAGCTACTCATCCACACTCTCAGTGCACAGCTTAGCTGTTGCTGATTCAAACACCAGACCTGATATATTTACAGTATTTACTGTAGTAAAAGTCTCTTACTTTTGTTTAAATCAAAAGAAGAAAATGAGTATTTTTAAAAAGATAAGGTTTAAACCTCATTTTCATTTTGCCTTAAAATCTACAGATACAGGCAACAGCGAAGCTCTCTCTCCAATGACCCCAAGGACTTTCTTCAGAGTTGTAACTGCCCATTCAAAGCTCAGCATCACGTAGGCATGACGTAAATTATTCTACCTTCCTTACATTTATCTACAATGAAGTTCATCTACTGCTTTTGTGGCCACTCAATACATCACCCCATTATTTAAAAACCACCACTGCTAAATTTAAGAGGCCATCTCATTTTAAATTAGCACTTAAAATTAAATTCAAACATCAGAAAAATCAAGAACTAACTTACCTGTGGCAAAAAAAAAAAAAAATAGTATGTATCCACTGACCCACTGTGTAGATACCAAAAGCAAAATGGATGAATGTATGGAGCTACTCATCCACACTTTCAGTGCACAGCTTAGCTGTTGATTCCAACACCAGACCTGATATATTTACAGTATTTACTGTAGTAAAAGTCTCTTACTTTTGTTTAAATCAAAAGAAGAAAATGAGTATTTTTAAAAAGATAAGGTTTAAACCTCATTTTCATTTTGCCTTAACAAAGAAGAAAATGAGTATTTTTAAAAGGAAAAGGTTTAAACCTCATTTTCATTTTGCCTTAAAATCTACAGATACAGGCAACAGCGCAACATCAATTTCTTTATGATGATAAACACCAGTGAGGAGAATATCACCAATCCTGGGATAAAAATGTGGCTGTTTGCTTTGTTTCCCTTAAAGAGTATTCAATTCTATGTAAAAATTCATCAGCAGTATTTTGGCTGTTCTACTGAACCCGAATTGCAGATCACCTAAAAGGAGAAACGTGCCTATGGTTATATTGGCACAGAGTATGTCTGGGGCACCGATACCTCTTCTCTGGGTGTAACAGAATACATTTGACATCTTGTTAGGAATCTTTGTTGAAACTCTTTGACTAGGGGATTACAGTGGTAGGTTTTAAGTTTCTTCTCCTACAGTTTCCTCTTACTAAGCTCTATGAGAACAGGTTAGTAAGAGACGACGTGTTAAGACTGGTACAGATTAAGTGTTAAAGTGTTGAGATGACTAGACCTTAGCCTGAGGATTAACTCACTGAACAGAGTAGGAGAAACTACTGGACATAACAAGTAACAGAAACTGACACCACTGACAGATAGCACCCTGATGGATGGCTGTCACGGGTGCTCTAGAAGTAATGCAGTGAACAGCCAACCTCACAGCTATCTGAAGGAGAGCATTTGGCACCTTTTAGGGAGAAGAATCTCGCCATGAAAAGCAGCATTTAGACAACCACATCAGTAACACCATATAACGGCAAGATTACTTTGGTACCAATATCAGAAATATGAAATTTGCATACGGATGTAGAAAAACTGGGACCAATGTCAAAAAAAAATATATTTAGGGACAAGTTTTTTATTTGTGAGGAGACAATGATAGAGAAAGGGACCAAGATGGATATGAAGTGGGGGATAATTGGCTTAGTCAAGTGTAAGCGATCTGATGGTTAGTACATTTGTCTGGACAAGCCCTGTCTGTGATTATTGCTCACTATGCTAAATTATTACATTCTATTTCTGTCTGAACTCAATGTCTATTCTGTGTGTGTTATTCATTAGCATACTTCACACTGATCTAGCCAGCAAAGAGAATCATAGAATTGTCAAGGTTGGAAAGGACCTTTCAGATCATCTAGTTCAACCATCAAACTCTGACAAAACCCATCAATAAACCATATCTCTAAGCACTATGTCTACCTGTCTTTTAAATACCTCCAGGGATGATGATTCCACCTCCGTGCTGATCACAGCTATTAAACAGACAAATTTATTTATTCATTTAGTTCCCAAAAATCACTGACAAGAGTCTAACAAAAAAAAAAAAAACAACCACAAACAAAAGCACAAAACAAACCCCTCACCACACACGGATGTTAACAATCTCTAGTCTAAAGCAGACAGCACAACTATCTCTGTGCTGTTTCCAAATGACTAGCCGTCTGAAGGCTAAAACCACACTTGTAGACTTAGATGGTCATTAAGATAGCAACATTTTCATCTATTTTTAGGTTTCTTCTTTCTTAAGAAGCCTCATCACATTCTCAGAATAGCCAGGAGAGTGCTGAAAAAATGAAGTAAATGTTCCGCAGCGTATTTGCCTTTATTAATCAATCTGTAAGAATCTGAAATTCAGAAGTGACACTTTGCAATAAAAATACAAGGGAGATTCAATTATAAGCATCATTTTGCATTCTATTTAGATTTAGTATCACAATTTTTTTCCCTCTATATAACAACACACTAAAGGATGACTTATTAATTTTTAATTCTTATATATTTGTTTGTATATATGTGTTTTATAGATTTTTTTATATATACACATTATGTATGTTTTTATATAAACCAAATATATATTGCTACTTATATTTCATATGTTTGTTTTATATACATATTTGTTAACTTACATTTTCACTGGTATCAGTGCTTTGTGCTACTTTAATTATCTTAAACTTCTCTTTCTTTGGCCAATTTATCCAGATTTATAGCTTTTCTGCATACAATGTTTACAAAGCACATGGACAATATACCAGATTTACTGGTAAATCTGACTGTCCTCTGCAATCGAACAGATTAACTAGAAGCGAATTGCTTAATATTGTCTTAAAACTGCAATGCAGTAATAGACATCTGCAAAAGATCCTCAGTCAGCAAAATCTGTTAACTGGAAGAGAAAAGGGAATTTCAGTCAGTTCTGCAGTATAAATAATTTTACTGGTAATCTTCATGACTAACAAAAATTTCACGTTATGGGAACTCTAGTGATTGTGCTACTCAGTCCTCCACTGAAATACTTTGCTTACTTTAAAGGTTCAAATAGCAGGTAAGATAGTTGTAAATTTACATAAACAGTCCAAAAAAGAGGAATACTTACTTTTTTAGAGCGCATTCCAACTCGTTCTTTTCATTATCTGCTTCTTGGAGCTGAGAAAAAATTCTGACCAGGAACTCTTCAAAATTGGAAAGTAAATGAGGTTCGTCTTTTCTCAGCTGCAACCAAAGTTCCTTCACACCACTCTCACTGAAAGAGGAGGTCATGAAGGATTCATTAAGAGAGAACATTTCTCAGGCTGCAGTAAATGTTCGCAGCTTCCCAGTGGATACAGGCTTCAGGGCACCACTAGTCAGAACACATGGCTTATTAAAAACAAGGGCTACTTAAGCAGCGCCAGATTTGAAAACAATCAGGTGGGTGGGAAATGAGGGAAATCGAATTAAAAAAAAAAAAAGCATCATAAAGTTTGGCCATGCACAGCTGCACAGAATCACAGATTGAATAAAAAAAAAAGCATCATAAAGTTTGGCCATGCACGGCTGCAGAGAATCACAGGAACTGATTGTTTAGTGAGTGGTTTTCCAGACACCTCATCTAAACAGGAATGGATACGAAAGGAGACAGACTGGTAATAAGTTGCCACGATCTAGTGGGCAGAGGGCAGTAGGAAAGCTAATCAAAAACAGTTCCTCATGAGAAATAAATGAGACCCAGTCTCCTAAGTTACTTAGACTTAGAGTTAACAAATAGCATTTGTACTGTCTTCTTTAATTTTCAACCCATTTTCATTCCATGGTGGGACTGCTACAAAAATCAGGCCATGACATCTTGAAAATTTTGATTTAAAGATTTACCAAGAGAATGTTTTGTTTCCAAATCTGTTCAGCAGATACTGGAAAAAAAGATGTTCTGCTGCGAATGATAATGGGTTTTTTAATATTTTGCCAAAATTCTCCCGAACAACTTATTTTGTTTGTTTCTTCCTGACTCATTCTCTTCCATGTGCATTGCAAGCCTGAACCTAACCAGCAAAGAGTGCTACATTTATAGGACAAAATGAGGATAAGGCTAGAAAAGGTGCATGATAAAAATCTCTTTCTAATGAAAGCCTTTCAGGATGATCTACCAACTGACAATCAACTCTTTCCTGTAACAGGCAGTCAGGGGAAGAGAAGCACTGCTGAGGACTTCTATTTCATGGTAAGGATCACCAATCTATTTCTTAAACATTCCTACTCTGTCCAGAGTCTCTCCCATTTTTGCCTCATGCTTTTTTGATCCAGAACATTCATTGTGATTGACCAATGAATGTCAGGCAACACAAAGAAGCTGTTAGAGCAGGTTTTGTGTTTCAGAGTAAGCCATCCTGGTCCTGGAAGAGGTAGAGTTATCAGAGTAATCACAACATGCAATTATGCATGGAGGGGAAAAAAAAGCAGAAAAAGGGGAGAAAACATCTCACTTACAGCTAACCGGTGCACTTTAAACACAGCCTTGCCAAAAAAATCATGCATTGTTTGTCTAAAAATCAGTGGCATCTGTGGATTACATGCTAGTAATTATCTCTGTTCAAACCCATGGTATGTCAGTGTGTTAACAGTATAGCTTTCATAGGGGGCAAACACACATTTCATATGCTTGGAGTACAATGGCTCTGCTCTTGGAAATTTTTGTTGAATGACATTTTATCAACTCTGACAATGAAGAAAATGAATTTTTAAAGAATCACTGTTTTACTGATCAGCCTTGGTTCTCATCATTCATCTTGGATTATATTAAAATCAAACCCAGAGCTGAATCATAAACGATTATACAATCTATTATCATTGCTGTGAAGACTCACTCATCCAAAACTTTTTCAGCTCCAAGCCGGTTCATCAGATTTGAGAACTGGAATTCTTCATCCTCATCATCACTCACGGTCTCTTTGCGTTTAAGCGGGCAGGCTGTTTCCCCTTCTGATTGCTGCATCATCTCATTATTCAAAGCAATCTGCCCCAAAAGAAACTGGCCTAAGAATTAGAGATCACACATGTTAGCATTTTCAGAACTTACTATAAGAAGCAATGTCACTAAAGAGCAACATACTAAAGATCTATTTTTACATTAAATATAATTGGTGAGGGAAACACCTACACTTGTTTACAAGAAAAAGGACTACAATGAAACAACAAAAGGATGAAGCATGGCAAGATGATCTCCAAGTTCTATGCCTGACTTTAAGCCCAGTTTAGTCTAACCCTCAGTAAATAACTCACCTCAAAATTCACACCTACTGAAAAAAATCAGACCTCTATAAACAAAACACATAAATTGTAGCAACAATCTCTTTATAAAAGTTGTGGCCTTATTTCTTGATATGCTTCAATAGAAGTTAGGAATCTAAAATAACCAAGCATTGCTACTGATAAAATGTACCTCCTATTTTAACATTCTTTTTAGTGCATGACCAAAGGCATACCTTAAATTCATGTACAAACTGCATATAGAAAGCTACATTTTATAAACACTTATTTCCCTCCATTTGACTCACACGCATTTAAACTCCTCCAAACTTGACCCTTACAACAGTTTCTTCCAACTGTTTGGGATGTTTCTATTAATAACAGAAAGACTGGATCATGGAGATGTGGTGGGATGCCTCCCATGACTGGAGTGTTGGAATGGAGGGATACAAGCTCTGAAGGAAGGACAGGAAGGGAAGACAAGGAGGGGGAGTTGCCATTTTTGTGAGGGAGAAGCTGGAATGCATGGAGCTCTGTGTGGGGACAGAAGAGGAGCTGATGTAGAGCTCACACATTAGGATTAAAGAGAAGACAAGCAAAGGGATATAGTGGGTGTCTGCTATAAGCTATCCAACCAGGAAGAACAAGTGGATGAGGCCTTCTACAGCCAGATAAGAACAGCCTCACGTTCACAGGCCTTGGTCCTCATGGGGAGCTTCAACTACCCCGATATCTGTTGCAGAGACAATGCAGTAGGGCATAAGCAAACCAGGAGGGCTATCCAACCAGGAAGAATAAGTGAATGAGGCCTTCTACAGACAGATAGGAACAGCCTCACGTCCACAGGCCTCGGTCCTCATGGGGAGCTTCAACCACCCCGATATCGGTTGCAGACACAATGCAGTAGGGCATAAGCAAACCAGGAGATTCCTGGAGTGTACTGATAAAAAATTCCTCCTCCAACTGATAGAAAAGCCAATATGGAGAGGTACTGCTCATACCCACCAACAAGGAGGGTCTCATTAGAGATGTGAAAGTCAAAAGAAAGCCTGCAGTGACCATGAGATGGTGGAGTTCTGGAATGGAGGGCAAGGAGAAGGGTGAAAAGCAAGCTCATAACTGTAGATTCCAGGGGAGCAGACTCTGGCTTCTTCAAATATCTGCTTGGAAGAGCTCCTTGGGATAAGGCCCTAGAGGGAAGAAGGGCCCAAGAAAGCTGGTTAATATTCAAGGATCACCTCCTCTCAAGAGAGCTCCATCACAAAGCACAAGCCAGGCAAAAGTCCCATATGCCTGCATGGATAAACAAGATGTTCCTGGCCAATTCAAACACAAAAAGTAAGCACACAGAGGCAAATTCAAACACAAAAAGTAAGCACACAGAGGGTGGAAGCAAAGATGAGTAACGTGGGAGGAATACAGAAACATTGTCTAGGCTTGCAGGGATGAGGTTAGGTAAGCTAAAGACTAAATGGAGTTGCATCTGGGCTTCTATAATTATATAGGAGATCAAAAGGAAGGACTTGGTTAAACAGAACATGGAAAATGGGAAGGTACCAAATACCTTCTTTGCCTCAGTCTCACTAGCAAGACCGGCTTGCAGGGATGAGGTTAGGTAAGCTAAAGACTAAATGGAATTGCATCTGGACAGGGATATTAAATAAAATAATAATAAAAAAATAAAAAGGGCTTCTATAATTATATAGGAGACCAAAAGGAAGGACTTGGTTAAATAGAACATGGAAAATGGGAAGGTACCGAATGCCTTCTTTGCCTCAGTCTCACTAGCAAGACCGGCCTTCAGGAAACTCAGGTCCCCAAGATCAGAAAGGTTGGAGCAAGGAAGATGTACACTTGGTGGAAGAGAATCAATCAGGTCAGGGAATACTTAAGTACTTAACTAAGCATATATGAGTCTATGGGCCTTGATGGGATGCACCAAAGAGTGCTGAGGGAGCAAATTTCAGATTTGCCACCATTTAGAAATATAAATGAGATTCTCCTATACTAATTGGTGCAGTACAAGTTGTATCCAGACACTACTCTGCTTTCTCAGTCTTCTAGTTTTCTAAAGCAGCCTTTACCTAGTACAGCTTCTGCTTCTACTAGGAATGCCAACATCATCACCTAGAGAAATGTATGACTACCTGTCTTGGATCCCTAGAAAATACCCGTGTAGCAGCTTAAAATGTAGCATGCTTTACATGTCCATCCTTAGGTTTTATGTGAATTCTATACAAAGATACTGTTGAAGGCAGTGCCTTGTCTGTGGCAGTCTGTGTCCGTGCCCTTAGCGTGTCTGTGCGTGTGCACGTGTGGGTGGCTCTGGGATCCACACTTCACTTCATTATCAGTTGAACCTGCAAACAGGAAAGCAGCAGCCACATCCAGCTGGGTCTCTGGACAGGGGTCCAACAGCCAGGCAGAAGGAATCCCCAGGCTCTGCAGCTGCTGGAGCTGGCAGCCACTTACAGCCCCCCTTAACAAAAAATTTTGGTTTTGGAGGGACTACTTATGAAAATAATCTTCATTTAACTAAGAAATATGTACAATTTACATATTAAAAGTAAAGCAGTGTTATATTTTTTTGATTTAATAATATGGTCTAGTGAATGGTGGCCCTGCCTATGGCAAGAGGAGGTTGGAATTAGATGTCTTTAAGGTCCCTTCCAACCTAAATCATTCTATGATTATATGATTTTTAAATAATGGCAGTTTGCTGATTAAAGCATACTCTATTAAGATACTTGATCTAGCTCTAAAATGGGAGAGGTGGGACATGAGAAAATTAAAATTTCAAATGGCTGAAGATTTGCAAACAAAAATGAAGGTCCTACTTTCTGGGCCTATACATAGTATTTAAATGTAGATTTAATGTTACAATTCACACATAGATTCAGTTTTCTAGAGAAAATGCTTAAAGCTGATGCTTATAGGCAGCAGAGCTAAAATTTAAGTACAAAATTGATTCTGTATAAACAACCAAACACAGTCTAACTAACCAACATTGTCCTCTTATCTGGAACCTCACAGTTGGGGAGAAAACAACTCTTTCACAAACACAGAGAACATGACAGTAAGGGTGCCCTCGCAAAGCAGTGAGCTACAAAAAACATATCAGTCCCAGTCATGTAGTAATAATAATTGCTTCATCCTGCTTCGTTTTGAAATGAAGTAACAACACTTAAGATGTAGAAAGCATTCCCCCAGCTGGTATTAACACATTTTCAACATTGTCTTACATTAATCTTACAGATAATCTTAATTATCTCTAAGGTCTTGTGACGAAATAAACCACAAAATTTTCTTTTCCCTCAAGCGAAATTTTCCAAAACTTGTTCATAGATCTAGCCCATGGCTTAAAACAGGTGTAATTCAGATGGTTACATCATATGTCTCATGTTGTGCCATGACTTGACAGTTTACACAGGAGACAAAGACCTTGGAGCCCTTTGTCTATAGACAATTTAATTTGACCACTTCTTCACCTGCTACATATATCTGCTATATCTAGGAAACAGTCTGGCTCCCTGCATGTGTCATTAAGTGTAATATTAAGACAAAACACTTCTTTATTGGTGTGGAGGGTACAGAATATGAATAAAGCTCTATAGAGGAGACATGCTTTCCAAACTCACTGAATCCTGTGGTGAACTCCTTTAGGGTAAGCGAGCCATTGCCATCAGCATCCAATGTAACAAAAACTTTTTCAAGCTCTTCCAGGCTAAGTGGTAACTCAGGATGCAGCCTCTGGAATGACAAAACATGCAGCAACTTTACCCAGTACTACAGGATGAGAGGAAGACTAGATTCTACAGAACATCCATAATACAGAAGGATAGGTCCTTTTGTTTCCCAGAGTGCAAACTCAAATTCATCACAGAATAAACAAACATCAGCTGAGGGAGATTTGCTTTTATGACTTCATTATTTGCCTTTATGAATCCTTTACAGCAAATCAGTGAGAACAATCTCCTTGTAACACAGACTCCAATCACACAGGGAAGAAGTAGAACTTGAGGTGGAGTCTCAGCATCCTGGTGAAATGGCTTGATTATCTTGGTGAAATGCCTTCATTATCATGAGGCTGGACAAACTTGCTAGAAGAACTGTACGCCTAGTTCCTTCCATGTCATGAGGTCAAGCAAGAGACTCTCTAAACAAGAACATTATAGAGGGCATACTGTCCTAATTAAAGCTGCTTTAAAACATGTAAGTAAATAAATAAATGTAAGAAAGCTGCATGATCCATGGAGCAAACCTGATGCTCCTGTAATGAGTAAAATATAGTTCCTGACTATCTACTTAAGAAATCCAGCATGCTCACACCAAAAGACAACCAAATTTCATTAATCCAGCTCCACAAGATCATTATTTTTTTCCTCGGAATCTAAAGATGGCATAAAAGAAAAAAACTAAACAAAACATCTTCTTTGAGTCAGGTCCTAATGGTTTTACTGTAATTCGTTTAACAGTATAGACAAGATTGCCAGAAATAGGAGGAAACTAGAATAACAAACAACTACAATAGCACAATTTCTACTGGGAGACAGCATGAGGAAGAGTAAAACCTTTCTTCAGCTTGGGATGCAATATAAATATACACTGGTGAAGTCTTCTGCTTTATTAGTTAGTATTTCAATCTCTTCCCTGAACTCCTATTATATATATAAGACATATTAAAATTGCAAGCCAATAGGTTGATAAAGTTAATCAGAACAAAAGCGCTAATCTGTTCCACTGTGGGGAAGGGATTTAGTGCTAAAGAAAGTCTCTTCTGCAAACTAAGAACAATACAAAACCACTATTCAATATACCAGGCCATATAACCAAGGTAAGAATTGGCTGAGTGCATTAACCAGAATTTCCCTGGCTGCATTATAAACCTGTATGAGTTGAAGGGAAGAACAGTAAAAGAAATTCCAAGGTGACCTTGAGAAGGGAAAAGAACTTTGAAAGGACAGAATTATCTGGAATAGCCCCAAAGCGATTTCTGAGCAGGATTAATTATGCATTGCTGCTTTCTTCCAAAAAGTTAAGAAAACTTGATGTACATCCAGTCTAAGTAAGTTATTCATCAGTTATTCACCTGCCTTATTATCAGTTTCTCATTTAAACACACCCATCTTCCCACAGCTTTTGATTTTAATCTCTTAGCTCTAAAGGGACACTTTTAAAAATGAGCTTCACTTGTAAAATGATTACATCCTACACGGCACTGATGAGGGAGGAGGTGCTTCAGACAAATTACTCTTAGAAAAACAGAAACTGTACTCCAAGTGCCAGTTCTTTGGGACCCACTGAAGGATTGCTTCTTGAGAGCTGGCTGCCCTCACCTGACCAAGTCATAAACACAGACCCACCTGCTATTCCAGCACAAATGCTTGTGGGTCTTGCTGCAAACCTGGACTGAATTATACTAATTTTGCAGTAGAAAGCACCACAATTATTTGCATTTTCTTGAAAAAAAATATGAAAATAGGAGATTTTGACAAATGTACCAATATTTTGCTCCATTATATTTCCCTGATGATAATTTACTGACTTTGACTTAATCTTAGTAACAATGGTAAGCGTGGCCCCAGTTCAATGTTTCCCCCATGTGTAACATTGGGGAAACCCAATGTTACCCATTACCCATAACATTGACAGGTACCAAATCCATTTTTGCAGATACATCTTTGTTTCTGAGGATTTGGAAGTTTTCTAAATTTTATATTAGATGTTTCCATTGGTATTAGCTTACACTGAATTTATTTTGCTACACTGCTCCCCAGTTCTATTTCATCCATTAGTACTGAAGTAGAAATGGATTAACACAATGAAATTATGCTTTGCATGTCAAGCATGAGTACTCTTGTTTTCTGCTACATACTGGTTCAAATCACCATTTCTGCAATATGTACCCAATTCCATTTTTCAAAAGATTTTATTATATCAACATTTTCAGCATCTCCAATTTTTGCCCCTCAAACGATTTAGGAACAATTTGGGAAGATGATTGTGAACACTGAATAATGCTAAAATACAGTTCCTTTACACTTCCTACAAACATATGTGATCCAACTGAGAGTTCACCATTGTTTGGCAGATGAAACCAAAGTAAAAGACTTCATTCACACAATTTTGCTGAAAAAAAAAAAACAGAATAAAATTGGTGGACTGAATACATTCATGATGCTGTGGCAAATTGCAAAGTAATGAACTTACTGGAGTTTCAACAAGAATGAAACTCAACAAGAATGAAATTAAATTCCTGGGGCATTTTTTAAACTTCACTTACTTTGATTTTCCACTTTTTTTTTTCTTTGACTGTGGAAACAAATCTTATGTAAGACTTCAAAGAGATTATTTTAAATCATCCAACCTAGACAATTCTATGATTCTATATATTTTTTAAATTATCAGGAGGGTGTTACAATTTTTAACTCCTAGTTAACCAGTTTCAATTCATTAAGGGCATTAGGAGCTTTTCTCATTCTCATTTCACATAGTTAGTTTTGGGTTACCTGCATGTCTTGACGAGTGATGAAGCCCTTGCCTTCCACATCACAAATCTGAAAGAACTCATGTGCTTTTCCCAACACATTTAGTCCTGAGTCTTGTTCTCCAGTCCTGCTCTTCTCTGCGTTTCCTGGTGGTGCAGGACTCGCAGAGTCTCCTTGCATTCTGTCCATTGGCACAATTTCGGCACAGGAATATTTTGGGATGCTGCTGTCCCATTTACTCACAAATTCTGATCCGAAACCTGTGCATGGAAGGTAAGAAAAAGAGCGATTCAGACCCTCTTAATGATGCTTTCCACAATCTCTTAGCAACCGTGTCCTTAATTAGGCACCAAAGCTTAAAAGAAGAAAAAGCTTTTTGAAAATGCCTACCCTTGATGGGTTGCACTAAAGACACTGCAAATGGGATGATGAATGAGGAGGGGGAGTCTGAGGGAAGGAGAAGACAAAACCAGCTCTAAAAAGGAATCTCAAAGCAAAATCAGCCAGTTTAAAAATAAATACAATCAATATGAACAAGAAAACACAAGAAATACTGTAAATTAAAATATAATTTAAAGTCACTACAAATATTCAACTGGTATCCTTTTGACTCTGATCATCTTAACACCACATATCACAATTTGCATCCAGTGCCTTGGAATACAGTTCATATGACAGATATAGAATGGAAGGGGATTGATGACTGACCATGCTGTTTAAATCAATTAAGTAAAATTGAAAGAAAGTTAACGGATTATGGAATACTGAAACATTTCCTTAGATTCATCCTTATTACTTACAGCTTTGACTTTCACCTGTGAAAAACTAATTGCTAGTGAACTTAGCGGGAAGACTTCATAAGTCAATCACATTCTGAAGAGCCTCTGTGAAAATGCATATTACACACCCTGCATGAAAATATTTCCATGTATTTGTGTTTGGCTATAATTTTATCTTAACTTCATTCTAGGAGGTCAGATGTAAACAGTTTTCCCCCTCCAAACATGTACAATTGTACAACATGTAGTATCAATACGAAGGAGCAGGCTTTCCCAAAAGCCTATGAACTTAAAGGCACTGGCAACTAATCATGGATTGTCATGACTCACTGAGTGTTTGTAAGACTCCCTGTATGATCTTAACTATTACCATGTGGGTAAACCAAGCAGAGAAACAGTCTATTTCACTGAAGTACTGCCTATTTGAGAGAGGCTAAGACCGAGTGTAGAGTTATCAGGGCTCAGATGACATGCAATAGCTAGACTTCGTATCTGCATCTTGAATTTTTGTTTCTGTTTTTCTAAACAGTTCTACCTAAAGTAGCCACAGATATTCAGATAATTTTTAACAGAGAGAAGTATTTTGAGAGGCATTTGATTATTACAAAGGAACATAGCCTGATTCTGATCCAGCATGACTGCCACGATCTGGAACAGCTCCAACAGAGGCCATTGAGAATCTGAAACGTATGTTGTCTTCAGCCTACAGGCTTTGGCATTGCTTAAGTTCAAACCTGGCAGTGCTTTATACCTCTTAAAACACAGCATCTTCCAAGAACTTCTTACCTGTACAGTTTGCCACAGCCTCAGGTTGCAGTGGCTTCTCACATCAAGGTGATTTCTCCAATATCTATAGGCCAGCCTGTCGGACTTCTCATGTTGCATGTAAGTATAAAAGCCATTGTAAACAGGCCATTGACTTTAAAGCAAACTGGGACTTTGACGAACAAATCACCCACCCCTTCTGAAACCACGTGGCAAAAATCTGCACACATAGGTACATGTTCCTCTCTCCTCCTCACTCTGTTTTGCAACACTGATCACCCCAGAGCTGTTGTTCAAATGCTCTCCAAAGCCGAATGACCAAAGAGCTTAACTGTCAGAATCTTTCCTATGACCAAAGAACTTAATGACCAAAGAACTTAGCTGTCAAAATCTTTCCTATGACCAAAGGAAGGATGGCCAAAGAACTTAATGACCAAAGAACTTAGCTGTCAAAATCTTTCCTAAAGCAGAGCTACAAGCAGCAGAAGAAAAAGCAAGCCGAGAGAAGGCAAAGGATGGCTACACCCATACCATCCCGCTTTAGGAAACTCCTTCTTGGAATGGGTCTTACTTCAGTTTTAAGGTACAGCAGTCATGGGGGCTTTATGAACCCCAAGAGCTGCTATTTCAACCCACCCGCAGGCACCGAGACCTCTGCTGGGGCTCCCTGTGCTCCACACCCCAAAAGGCACCCAAGCCTGACAGAGCATCCACACCAGCAGACAGCTGAGAAGGTCCTGGAAAATTAACAAGGCTAGGAAATGCCGTCAAGAGGAACAGAGGTCAGACATAGCAAGGGGCATTTGGCTGTATTACGGCTGCCCAAACAGCTGTACTCTTTTTCTTAAGAGGAAAATTTCTAGCTCAGAAAGTCTGACCAACCACCAGTAGCTGGGAAGACAAATGATGGAAAAGATCTCTCCGTAACTGCCCTGTTTCTTAATCCCTTTCCTGATGTACCTGGTACTAGACAGTCTCAAAACCAGTATATGAGCCAGCTGAATCTTTGCTCTGACTCTGTACAGCCACCCACACACTTGTGATCAGATGGAAACACCACTGCAAGCCACTTTCAGACTACAGGGGTATAATAGGCTGGATGAGATTCCCTTTTCACGCTGCTATGACACACCTAACCTTCCCTTAATTCAACACAGCTCATCCTTGATTGACACCAGCGCACGGCAGAATCAGAATCATGCCATCGGTTTCAAGTGACACTAACTTAAAAAAAGGTTTTAAAGTCCCAAAAAACAGTGGGACAAGTGCAGCTTAAAGATGGCCTCGACAAGATCTGACCCAGACTCCAAGTGTAATGACTGGGAGGGGTGGCTGACACCCCAGAAGGCTAGGCTGCCATCCAGCGAGACTTGGACAGGCTGGAGGGCTGGGCAAGGAAGAACCTCATGAGGTTCAACAGGGAAAAGTGTAGGGTCCTGCACCTGGGGAAGAAGAATGTCAGGTACCAGTACAGGTTAGGGGTGGACCTGCTAGAGGCAACTACTGAAGAGAAAGATCTAGGGGTCCTGGTGGACAGTAAAATGACAATGAGTAAACAGTGTGCTCTTGTGGCCAGGAAGGCCAATGGTATCTTGGGTTGTATAGGGAAGAGTGTAGCCAGCAGGTCAAGGGAGGTCATTCTCCCCCTCTACTCTGCACTGGTGAGGCCACAACTAGAGTACTGCGTCCAGTTCTGGGCTCCCCAGTTCAAGAGGGACAGGAAACTGCTGGAAAGAGTCCAGCGTAGGGCAACAAAGGACTGGAGCATCTCCCTTATGAGGAGAGACTGAGAGAGCTGGGACTCTTTAGCCTGGAGAAGAGAAGGCTGAGGGGAGACCTTATCAATGCCTACAAGTATCTCAAGGGAGGGTTGAAGGAGGAGGGAGCCAGACTCTTTTCAGTGGTTCCCACCGAGAGGACGAGGGGCAACGGGCACAAGTTGGAACACAAGAGGTTCCACTCAAATATGAGGAGAAACTTCTTCACAGTGAGGGTGACAGA